AAATTCATAAGTTTGTTTCCTCTAGTTAGTCCTATATGTTATATTCTGTAATGATCCTATTTTTAAATTCTGTTTTGATAGGTCCGCATAAAATACATGTAGGTAGTTTGTCTTCCAAGTATTTGGATTATTTATTACTGTTAACTGCTCTCATAAACTATAAGTCTGGGCAGCTGTCTTATTATAACAACTCCCCCCCCCCCCCAAAAAAAACTCCACAGACAATAACAAATTATTCTGGCATTTGTTCCTATAGGAGTTCCTGTTTGGTCTTTCTTCTTTGTGGGAATCCTGTTTGTCCACAGAAATCAATCATTTGTAGGAATTTTCCTTTAGTCTGAAAACTGAAAACTGTTAAGAACACATACCTGAACATAACTATGCATTCTACAATTTTTAGTGCTTGTTTCATGGACTAACTTGACTTTTTCTGAAGTTAATTGCCTTCACATCACTTTTAATTTAGTGGTTTCACCTCCATACAATAACCCATCTCCTTATATTCTTTAGGGTTGTCTCTACAATTTCACAGAAGATACCTTAAATTCAACTTGAGCAAAATAGTACATATTTTTTTTTCACATTTTTAACTGTTACCTTTCCATGAAATTGACGACAAATAGTATTTTTTTCCTCTTTGGTCATCTTTACCAGAATATCTAAACAAAGACCTGTTAAGAGCTGCTTTATTAGTTGATGAGCTGGTACTTATCTAATCCTTCAGAAAGACCAACCAAAGAACAAAGAGAAAAGTTTGTATGTACCACAATTTATTTTGTTAGCTCTATGGTCTATGTAAAAGAGAAGCTTTGGTGTAGAATAATCATTTCTAGAGACTTTCTTACCTCATGAATACACGACTGTATTTCAATTGGATCATGCCTCATTCTCTCTCAATGGAGAGAATGCTCTTATGTAACGCTATATATGTGTTCTTACTGTGGGTAGTTACATTGAGATTCCTGGTTTGGGGGCTCTACTACATGCCTCATGGATTTTTGAGAAATAAGAATGAGTCTGGCCACCAAATCCCCACTATCTGCTAGTTTCTCTAGTCTGTTACTAAATAATGATGATGAAGACAGAGCATACTGTATCTGTCTCTCTCTTGATCTCATGTATCTTCCTATTTCATCACATTCACTCAAGTACTGTCTGGCCCATCCCTGAATTGGGCTTCCTATCTGAGTGCTCGACTTAAGGCATTTATCCTAGTGCCAGCATTCACAATTAATTTTTTCCACATTTTACATTATTTTTGTTATTTCATTTCATACCTAGATTTCTGGATGATGAGGTAAACCACACTGAATGAGAAGTGTATCATCTTATATTGAAATTTAAAAAAGTTATTGGAGCTCAAAGCTAAGATTGAAATTTTTATAAGCTAAGAACAAACATCTGGTAGAGAACAAAGATTTCCCTTGGAATTATGCAGAAGAAAACTTTATAATCAAAGTCCAAAATTTCTACTTGAACAACTCCGAAATTCATGTAAGAACAGAATAAGCATAAGAACTAGCTTTTGGTCTTACTATATATAGTAAGGGACCCTTTACTGGAAAGGCTATTACTACATGCCTTAAGAACAGTGCCAGGAACATTTTGCCAAGAATGATACCAAGCACTTAATTCACTTAGCACATACAATGACTATTTGGCCACTATAATTATTACCCCATTTAACAAGCCTAGGAAACTACCACATAAGTTATGCAGTCTGCACAGCATGAGGTAGTGTAAAGTGGAAAGATGGGATATCTATAGTTTGTAATATGTGAGATTAATAGGGTTGTAGTTGTTTCAGTTTCACTGGACTGAAAAATTCCCTCCTGGAAGAAAAGAAACTTACAAGACTCAAGAAGCTCATGAAACTTACAAGACTAAGGCTATTCCCAGAGGTTTTAGAAGCAGTAAACAATTCCTTGAGAGATGAGAGCTCAGTGGCACTCCTTGCAAGTTGTTCAGATGCTCCAGTGATGTAGCTTCCATGAGCCATACTGGTGCTGGGGTAGGTTTTTCAATGATGCAGCACCTGGAGTCACCCATGCTCTTACAAATAACGCAAAAAAAAAAAAAAAAAAAAAAAGGAAAAGAAAAAAACCTGTCCCATTTAGATCTGAATGGAATTGTTTCTCTGGTCTATAGCTGTTTCTCTATCAGGGGTGAACTGATGCTTACTCATGTCTGTACAGAAAAAAAATCATGCAAAGGGAAAAAAGAAACCTTATTCAAATCCAGCAAGACTGTTAGTCTCTTGCTACTCTCTACATGCTCCAGGGATTAGCACCATTGGTATAACCTAGGAACTTGTTAGAAATGCAGATTGTCAGGTTCCATTTCACAACTACTAGGTCATAATTTGAATTTTAACAAGATTCTCAGGTAATTTTAAGTCCACTAAATATGAGCAACACTGAGTTTGTTCTATTATATGGTAAAAGAAAGAACACAACCTTAAGCTAGTATGACTCTAAAAAAAGATGAACCACTTAGTCAAATAGGAATTTTTACTAGTACAGTATATTAAAAATGGTTCAATTAGATTGTCACTATACTATCAAAGGTCAGTCAAAAGACTGGAGAATTCCCAAGCTTAGGAAATACAAGTTTTTAGGGATGTATACAGGGTAAGACTTCATGTTAGCATTTGCTAGATCTCATCTCAAAGGTCAGAACCCTGAGCAACACCAACAGCAGTAACTCAGTTTAGAGAATGAAGGATGATTCCCCAGGTCGAGATTAAAAGAAAGTAAAAGAAGTAAAACTTGTCCTAAGAGATAGAAGGCACAAGTTACCTGGGTGTAGTAACCCACATCTACAATCCTAATACTTGGAAGGCTGAGGGAAGAGGATTGCTGAACATTCAAGGTCAGCCTAGGCTACATGGTAAATTCTAGGCTCACCTGGACTACATAGTACAAAACAGAACAAAACGAACGACTCAAGTATTTATTCAGAGTAGGAAGAAGTCATCATGGCAGAAGTGGGAAAGAGATTTTTAAGCAACTGGGAATTAAAGGGATAGGCTTTAGAACTAGATATTGAAGGGGATAGAGAAGGATATTAAAACACATACACAGAGACACACACCACCACCACTACCACCACAAAAACACATACAAAATCACAAACTCTCCCTTGATGCTTTTTTTTTCTGGGGAGGGGGGACTAGAGATTATCAATACTGATTATATTCTGCTCATAAGAGAAAAAATAAAGGCTATGTCTCTTCACAAGTATGCTTATATACATTTTAAGTCAAAATTAAAACTTGTTCCTCAATGTCTCCAAACACATAGGTGGTTCCCATTATCCACTCAGTTGACATCTCCGTGACACACTTTCTAACACTGAAATGTTCTTCCCCAGTGCCACTGTGCCAGCCTTCTCTATCCCCTTGCTCCTCCCTGATTTATATCTAGGACATCTGTTGCTTTCTAAAATACTTATAAATGTTTGATTTATTGTCTTTTCTGCTTCTATAATAGAATTAAACTTCCTAACTACAAGGATTTTTTTCTAATTCTGCTTAGTGTCTAGAACATTGTGCAATCTCAATGAATATCTACTGAACAAAAAAGTTCAAGAGCAGATAGCCAAGAACAACGTGTCAAAAAAAAATCAAATGTAAAATTAAAAAGTATTAGATATTTGACTGTATAATCCAAGTAGATTATGACTTTTATGAAAATATGTATTTTGATCTATTTTGTTGACTGTTAAGAAAAAAAAAAGTAGAATGTTGAATGTAATTTACATAATATAGCCAAACTCCTGATTGACCATAGGCTTTTAACACTGCAGCAATCTATGTATGCCATGTTGGAGATCTATCCCTGGAGGTTATCAAAGTATGCTTTGTTCTAATTTGACCCCACAGTAATGCTGAGGAGATGAGAACACATGGGTGAGCTGGAGTACTGTGTGCTACTTTGCAAAATACATGGTAAAAAGATCCAATGTATTTCAGATGAATAGGAGAGGTCATTGAAATCTTTTGTCATTCTGTGTTTATATGCTGCATGTACATGTTCATGTGTATATACAGGTGCATATGGACAGGTGCACGAATGAGTATAGAGGCCAGAGGTAGTGGTGGATGTCTTCCTCAATTGCTCTTTACCTTATTTTTGTGACAGAGACTTTCAGTGAACTGGAGCTCATCAATTCAGCTAGGCTGGATAGCCAGTAAGGTATAGGCATCTACCTGTCTCTGCCTCCCCATTGTTGAAGTTACAGAAGTGTACAGCTATGGCTGGAATTCTTTTATTTCATTTATTAATTTAATTATTGTGTGTATGTGTGTAGGCATGTACATGTCACAGCAGACTGTGGAGGTCAGAAGACAACCCTTCAGAATCTGTTCTCTCCTTCCACCACGTGGGTTCTAGGAATTGAACCCATGTCATCAGGTTGGGAAGCAAGCACCTTTACCCACTGAATCATCTATCTAGCTCCCAGCTTTTTGTTTTTTAACCAGTGCTGGAGGCCAAACTCAGATCCTTATGCTTGTGAGGCAGGCACTTGACCAGCCAAGCCATCTCACCAACCCCCTTTGTCATTCTTGTTGGGATTTATTCTCTTTTTTTACACTATATGCCAAAACAATAGCAACCTTCAGAAGTTTCTGTAAAACAAGAAAATCAGGATATAGCTGAAGGAAAAAGTGATATGGGACAAGTGGCCTACTTCTAGTATGGGCAAGACTGCTTACAGGATAAAGCTCTACACACACACAAACAAAGACTATATGCATACACACATGTGCTTGGAGTCTGTAGGCACAGTAACAGCTCTTGTATAGAATTAGAATTCTGGATATAAACTACTTGGGAACACAGTTAAAAAATGATTTCATAATCCTTCTTTACCTTAAATACTGTCACTGTAAGTAACCATAACAACTTTAAAACAAAATTCTTAGATGACAAGCTATTTTTAGAGCGAAAATAAAAGTGTTTCAAATGTACACAATATCAAGTAGTAAACTGTTTTACCTGAAATGAACCAAGAATATCCTTTAAAGGTTCTTCATAAAATTCATCTCTTCCAAAGAACAGCAGCAACTCAAAGAAACTCCTAGAAAGAAACAATGATAATTTTCATTGCTTTGTGGTTTTGCCCTATTTTAAAAGATTATCAAGTTATAACACCTATCTAGTATTAAATATTTCGCTTAAAATATTTTGTTTTATAAAAAAAAAACTTTATTAAAGGGTTGGGAATGTAGCTTAGCTGGTGAGGTGCTTTCTTAGTATGCACAGCATATAATAAACTGTGATGATGCAAATCTTTAGAGTCCTAGCACGTGGAGGGTGGAGGCAAGTAGATCAGAAGTTTAAGGGCATCCACAACACAAGTGTAAAGCCAGCCTAGACTAAGTGAAATCTTGTCTTTAAAAAAAAAAATCCCCCAAACACAAAAGTAGTGAGGCAAAAGAGGATAAAACATCTGATAGACCACATCTGGTACTATGTGACAATAGGTAGGAGAACAAAGAAACAAAAGATATATGGAGTTTCTTACTGAGGTTTCAGGAGTTTACTGGGAATCTTGTAATGTAGCCTTCATGGATCAGGAGGGAACTCCTATACATATTTTTGTGCACATCAACATACAATAAACTAATAAAAGCAGTTATCTCCCTTTGGTATAAAAAAGCAGAGGTAGGTGGATGTTTGTGAGTTCGAGGCCAGCCTGGTCTACATAGTGAGTTCCAGGACAGCCAGGGCTACAGGGAGACCCTGTCTCAAAAAGACCACACACACACACACACACACACCCGTCTCAAAAAGACACACACACACACATACACACACACACACACACACACACACACACACACACACACAAACAAGGAAGTCAAAGATGAACTGTGAAAAAGGGGAACAAATTGAGGGTATTAGTGGGTGAATATGGTCAAAGTTCGTTATATGCATGTATTAAGATGTCAAGAAAACCCATTATTTTGTACAATTACTATGTACTAATAATTTTTAAGAAGGAAAAAGACAGCAATGTCACATCAATTGGCTCTCCTTTTCACAAAAGATTTCTTTGTAATATGTGATGCTATTTGACAGCAGTTTGCCTATCAAACAGCATAACATACTAAAACATGAATTGGGACTTTTCAAACATTGGAATGGGCTCAGTGGTAGAGCACTTGACTAGCATGTGCAAGGCCTTAGGTTCAATCTCCAGCACCATAGGAGGGGGAAAAAAAATCTGTAGTATTATCAAAACTGGAATTAAACCTCTCAAACCTAATATTATCAAGAGTTTAATTAATATATTAAGTCTTTTGTTGACCTTTTAACAATACTTACAGTATCTTCACCAAAAATAGATTCTGTCTCAAAAACAAAACAAAACACAAAACAAAAAACCCCATTTCTTTCTTTTTCGTTAGAAACAGGGTCTCCCTATGTTACCCAGAGGATGGCCTCAGATTTTTGGGCTCAAGAAATGTCCCTGTGTCAACTTCCCAAATGGCTATAATAGATGCCCAGCACCAGGCCCATCTAAAAAGCACAATCTTTATTCATTCTGAAGAAGTAATTCTTCATATGTTGAAATTTTATCACGAGATTGTAGCAATTCATTCATATCTCCAGGCTCCACGTGCAATTTTAATTTTCTCTTTCCACTGCATCTGCAGTTACTTCCTTTACTAGAGTTCTGAATTCTGAACCCTTTAAAGTCATCCATGAAGATTAGACTCAACTTCTTCCAAAGTCCTGTCAGTGTTCTCTTTTGACATCCCCTATGAACTCTGTTTTTGATGCATCTAGAATGATGAGTCCTTTCCAGGCTTATAATGTAATTTGCAAATATCTATCAGAGGATCACTATCTAAGATAAGCATAGCCTTGCAAAATATAATTCTCAAATGGTAAGACATAAAAGTTTAAGTTGCTCCTAGAATCATAAGCTGCAAAATATATACTATGTTAGTAGGCATGAAAATAATATTCATTCCTATGAACTCTGTTTTTGATGCATCTAGAATGATGAGTCCTTTCCAGGCTTATAATGTAATTTGCAAATATCTATCAGAGGATCACTATCTAAGATAAGCATAGCCTTGCAAAATATAATTCTCAAATGGTAAGACATAAAAGTTTAA